ACGGCCAGCATGGCCACCACTGTCCACATCGACTTCTCGAAGCACAGCGGCACCATGTCTTCAGGCTTGACGCCGATCTGGACAAGGTGACCCGCCAGCTTGGTTGATAGTGCATCTAGCTCGCCGTACGTCAGCTCGCCGTCCCAAGCGCAGATGGCGGGCGCATCGGGCCGCGCCGTCGCTTGCTCGGCGACTAGGTCGTGGATGCACCGCTCGACCGCCACCGGCACATTGCCGTTCCACGCCCACAGCTGCTGCTTGTCCTCGGACGTGAGCGTGTCGATACTGCTGACCATTGTTATCTCATGCTGTGCTGCAGCCAGCTGTTGTATGACGAAGCTAAGCTGGCCCAGCATCTTCCCGACCAGCCAGCGCTCGATGACGCGCTCGTCGAAGCTGGCCGTGATGCGCACCTCTTCGGCAGCCAGCGTGCACTGCACCATCAGCGCATACGTCGTGAAGCCTTGCAGCTCCGAATTGCCGCGCCACGCTCCCAGCACGCTGTCGCCAGCGAGGCCATCCTCGGCTGGCTGCACTACCAGTAGCGTCTGGAAGCCGCAGGCGTGCCGAGCATCCGCCCCCATCCTGGCGATCCGCTGCAGGCCTGTCTGCTCGTGCGGTATCATCTCTGTCGCCTGCCGCTGCACGCTTTCCAGGAAAGCCATGACGGTCTGACCTCTCTCTATGCGCACCCGCACCGGCACAGTTGCAATGGTGGGTCCAAGCATCGCCTCGATGCCCGCCACAGCCGCGTTGCGTCCCGTCACCACTGCGCCAAACACTACGTCGTCCAAGCTGGTGTACCGGCTGGCGAGGATCGCCCATGCAGCCCGCACAAGCGTCGACGTCGTCGTGTCGGACGCCATCTTGGGCAACGGAGGACACTGGTAGTGCACCGTCGCATCGGCAGCCGGCTGCTGCACCGTCGTCGGCAGCGCAGGGAACGGCGTCGCTTCGCAGTCCGCTAAAGCGTTCTGCCAGTACGCGGCCGCCTCGTCGGGGTCCTGGCGGCTGAGGTGCTTGATGAAGGCGCGGAAGCCAGGCTGCTTCTGCATATCAGCCCCGTCATACGCCTTCTCCACCGCGTCCATGATGCGCGGTAGCGACCAGCCGTCGTACAGCGCGTGGTGGACCGTCCACACGAACCATCGCTTCCCTGCTGCTGCTCCTCCCTCCTCTTGTCCTCTCCGCTTTTCCTTGACTACAGCATAGCGAGCCAGCAGATCACCTAGGCCCATCGAAGCCGACTTGTCCTTCTCCAGATACGCTTCAAGTCCTTCGGTTTCTATCCACTGAATGTCTTCTACCACCACCGCCTGCAGTAAGCCAAGCTCGCTGTGCTGCACGATCCGCGTACGTAAGACTGCTACAGACTGGACAACTTGCTCCCACGCAGCCCGGAAAGCATACTCATCCACATCGGCTCGCAGCTCCAGCACGCTCTGCATGATGTAGTCACCTGCTCGCTTTGATGTCAGCGACATCAGCCCCTCCTGCATCGGCGAGCATGGGTAGGCATCCTCTACAAGGTTTGCGTCTATGCCACAGTTGGCTGCGACTTCCTCGCGGACACGCACGGCGTCCATGTCCGCGCCCAGCAGAGAGAAGGCGGCGATCTGCTCTTCTACTACCATGTCGCGGCTGTTGACGCCCAAGCCGGCCAGCGCCGCGAGCTTGGGGCAGCGGAAGAGGTCTGCAACGGACAGCTGCAGTCCTACCTTACGAGCTTCGCCCACCAGCTTCATCGCCGCGATCGAGTCGCCGCCCAGACGGAAGAAGCTGTCGTCCAGCCCAATGCTGTCTGCCGCGACGCCCAGCACCCCCGCCCACAGCTTCTGCATCCGCAGCTCCCCATCCGAAAGAGACTGCTGCACTGGTGCTTTGCCGCTGTGTTCTGTTTGTAGCCGCTGCTCCAGAGCCTTGCGGTCCACCTTACCATTCTGTGTTACTGGCATCGCGTCCAGCACCGTGATCGCCTGAGGAACCATATATGCCGGCAGCTGGGCTTGTAGCATCGCCAGCAGCTGCTGTTGGGTTTTCTTCAGCATCCGCTGCCGCAACGGTTTGCTGCTGAGAGTGTGCGGTGGCCGATCTGTATGCTCGGTAGGGAAGCGGAACAATCTCCTGTTTTCACCGTTCCTTGGCGGAGACCGATGAAAGATGGCGTCGAGACCACCACGCTGTGAGTGCTGCCTGTTCCAACTGATCTCGACAAGACAGCCTGATTCCTGTGCCAGCTCGACCAGGTCAGTGGCGGACAGGGATGGCTTGTGCTGCGCTTGCTGATAGACTGATGATAGCCAGCCTGGGGCATCGCGTGTGTCTGCGCCCATATCGTCAAGCGCCTCGACAAGGCACCGACTGACAATGGTCTTGCTGTAAGGAATATTGCTTATAGCTGCTGTAGACAAGCCAGAAAGACTTCTTAGCTGTTGCTGAAGAGATTGGCGGTCTAGCTTGCGCTCTGAGAAATTGATCCATTCGTCTTCTTTCACGATTTGAATCTCCCGCTTTGGCCCAGATCGAGACCTAACGTGAACAACCGCAGCGTAGCGATAGCAGCTCAGCTCGTTCGTCGCCTTCATCCTCTTCGGCAGTATCTCGACATGCTCCACGAGCTCCGGGAGGCGGCCTGGTAGGGCAGTGAAGAATGCTGGGTCGACGAGCAACTCTGCTTCCATTCGCTCCATGTCGGTCATTATGCGTCGAATGTCTGCCATGATCGCCTTGTCGCCAGCCATGCGCAGCGCCCGAGCTGCCAGAAATTCTCGATGCAGCGCATAAGATCGAACGTCGCCAAAGAAGATGGTCTGGATGCCCGTGATCTGGAGTAGCTCTTGGACGACCTTGAACAGGTACTCTTGGCTAGGAAAGTACTGAACGACCGAGTTCAGGCTGGCAAGATTTGCTGTGACTGACGGCTCCAACCGACCAATGTCCATCGCTGTGGCCTTGTGCAAGCGGACTTTGCTCGCTAACGCCGAGATGGACTTTGCTGTCTTCGCGACAAACTCGATTGCCTTTCTGGACGGGTCGACTCCGACGTAGCTTTGCAGGCCGTCGCCCAAGTTGAAGAGGACCATGCCGGTCCCCGATCCGATCTCGAGCACGCTGCCGGGCTTGCTGCCGTTGAGCATCGTATATATCGTATCGTCTAGCCACTCGTTCATCTCCATCTCGTCTATCTCACTGCCGTCGTACATGGACGTCCACCCGGCGAAGTCTCGCCCGATGCGTTCGGACTGGATGTTGTTGATAGGTGAGTAGATGTCATCGTCAAATTGCTGTTCCCAAGCTCCCACATGCTGCGATTCATCCTCATCGCCTCCATTACTATCTCCGTCATCAACCTGCTCGTTGACCATTGCAGCGCCTTCGTCGACTATGACGAAGCCAGCGAGCCGGACCCCATCGCCGTCGCTTTGTTGTAGCACAGCCACTGCGTCGCTGACGCGCTTGTGGCTGCGGAGGACGTGCTCGATCTCGCCCAGCTCGATGCGCTGCCCCCGGATCTTGACCTGTCCATCCATCCGGCCAAAGTACTCCAGCTGGCCATCCGTAAGCCGATGGCGGGCGTAATCGCCTGTCCGGTAGGCCTTGACTGTCTGACCAGCAATTGTGACCGATACGAAGCGGTCGATATTCCTCTCGGGATCAGTGTAACCCCGCGCCAGACCGTCGCCTGTGACCACGAGCTCTCCGATCACGCCGAGAGGAACGAGTCGAAGATTCGGGTCCATGACGTGGGCGCCGGAGTTGCTGAGTGCGCGGCCAATGGGGACACCGTTAACGCAGTGCTCTTCCTCGGTGAGGACAAAGATTGTGCTGACTCCGGTATTCTCAGTAGGACCGTAGCAATTGACTGCCTTGCCCGGAAGGAGCTGCAGCGCTTCATAAGCATCGCGCGGGTGCAGTGCTTCTCCTCCCAAGCAAAGCATCTCAAGATTCGTCAGCACTCCAGGCGCCTCTTGTGCATACTGTCGGAAAAGCGCTGGCGTAAGTACAGCCATGTTGATGTTCGTTCGATGAAAGATCCGAGACACAGCCACTGGATCGAGGACGGTCATGGCGTCGACGCAAACCAGCGTCCCGCCGTTCAGCAGACAGCCGTATATCTCCCATGTGGAGACGTCAAAAGCGAGAGTCGTTACGTGCGCCATGACTCGCGTCTCCGGTAGGACAGGCAGGTGCTGCATAAGGTTGTTGTCTCGAATCAAGCGCACGATGCCGCGGTGCTCTACCATGACTCCCTTCGGCTGGCCCGTCGACCCGGACGTGAACATGACGTATGCGAGACTCGTCGCTAAAGGCCCGGCAGCAGCCGCTGCAGGTTCTTGAGGAGCGAACACCTCGCTTGCCTGCTCGTCTAAGGCCTCTACAATGCGGACAAATTCGATGGTGTTCAGCTTGATGTCGGGAGGCTGGACGTCAGCACCGACGAGTATTATTATTCTCTGACCACTCGGAAGAGAGGACAAGACGGCTTCCATCCGCCCCGCTGGTATCTTCACATCGAACGGTAGGTAGGCCAGGTTGGCCTTGAGAATGCCCAGAAACGCAACGATCGCCTGGCAGCTTCGGGCTGCAAACACGCCAACGAGCGTCTCGGGAGCAAACGACAGTTTGGCTAACCACCCAGCCAGAATGTCAGACGCTGCGTCTAGCTGGGCGTAGCTCATCTCTGCTGACATATCTCTGACGGCGATCCGGGACGGATGCGCAGAGGCTTGCCGGCGAAAGAGGTCAACGATGTTCGAGTCACGTGGGTATGCGGTCTGTTCAACCCGAACAAGCCCCATCCCGTCGAGCCGAGCGTAGTCGGCTTCGGTCAGCAACGACATGGACGCGATCACCACCTTTGGCTCCTTGAGACAGGCGTCAAGGATGTGTCGGAAAAGTGACAGCATATTCTCGATCGTCTCTGAAGCATACAGGTCGGTTGAGAATATGACTTCGCCTCGTAGCCCGTTCAAATGTTGGAAGAAGTGGAACTCCAGGTCAAATCTCGACGTCGCTGTGTCGCCCATGTTTTCGGTCTCCACACCCTCCAGCATTAGCTTGCCCAGGTCTCGCTGCGAGTGCACAGCGAAGATGAGCTGCGCCAGCGGGTGGCGAGACAGATCTCTGTCTTTCTTGAGCTTCGACACGATCCTCTCGAAGGGGACATCCTGGCTGGCTAGCGACGCCACTGCTACCCCTTGCACCTGCTGGACCAGCTCTTCGAATGTCTCATCTCCAACTGTGATCCGCAGGCATTGCATGTTGACAAAGAAGCCGATCATATCTCTCAGTTCCGATCGATCTCGATTAGCGTTCGCTGTTCCGATGGTTGCATCTTCCTGCCCAGTGAGACGGAAGTGCGTAGCTCGGAAGGCAGCGAGCAGGACCACAAACAGCGTCACCCCGCGTGCCTTGCAGAACTCTTGCAGCCTGACGAACAACGAGCCATCCAACTCCAATGTCCGCACATCAGCATGGCCCGACAAGGCAGCAGGTCGCGGCTTGTCGCAGGGCAGCTCGGCCGGCCTGCTTGTTTGCAGCTGCGCGATGCAGTACTCGAGCTGTCTGTCGTGCTCATCGACCTGGGCTTGCTGTCTTTGCCACACAGAAAAGTCGCGATACTGTATCGGCAGAGGCTGCACCTGTGACAGCGGGTCCTGGCCGCGGATTGCGGCAGAGTAGCATGCACCCAGCTCACGCGTAAGCACGTCAACAGACCAGCCGTCAGAGATGATATGGTGCATGACAATAGAGAGCACATGGTCGTGTTGGTCGACCCTGTAGATCGACACTCTCCATCCAGGCTCCGTAGCCAGGTCAAAGGGGGCTGTCTGGTCTTGCTGTACAGTGTTCACGATGCCCTGCTTGCCGCCTTGGATAACGTCGATGACATTCACCTCTTTTGATTTGAAAGGCTTGACATCCTGCACACTCTTTCCTTCCACAGTAGCAAAGGTAGTGCGAAGCGTCTCGTGGCGGTACTCGACTGCGAGAAGCGCAGACTTGAGAGCTCCAAGCTGGAGTGGGCCTTTGATGCGTACTGCGAAGGGTATGAGGTACCAGGTCAGGCCAGGGTACAATTGTTCTAGGAACCACAGTCGCCCCTGCGCAAACGATTGCTCGACAGGTCCTTCGTGATCGGCGCAAGGGATGGCGATGGGCGAATCGTGAGTTGGTGAGATGGCCACAGAGGCACATTGGTCCAGACGGGGATGGCGGAAGAGGTCGGCGACGGTCAGCTGCACGCCGTGCCTGCGCGCCTCGCCCACCAGCTTCATCGCCGCGATCGAGTCACCGCCTAGGCTGAAGAAGCTGTCTTCCAGGCCGATGCTGTCTGCCTTAATGTTCAGCACCCGCGCCCACAGCTGTTGCATCGTTTGCTCTGCTTCTGTAGTCGGCGCTCGCTTCACGCCCTGGCTCAGCGTGCGCAGCTCGGCCAGCTGCTGGGCGGAGAACGAGGCACCGATCTCGCGCAGCCGCTTCCTGTCCGTCTTGCCAGACACTGTCATCGGCAGCTTTGCAACGACAAAGTACACAGCTGGCACCATGTAGCCCGGAAGCCGCTTGGCCAGCTTGTTGTCTGCATCGACTGGGAAGATCACTCGCGCCAGTGAGCTAGCTTTAGTCTTCTCATCTGTTGGAGGTGTTGGAGGAGTATTGCCAAAGTCGTTGTCCAATTGCAAGAAGACTGCAAGCATTGCGTTATTCTTGTCTCCCTCTGGCAAGATCACTTCGACGGCTATCTGCTCAGCCTCGGGCATGCACTCTCGCACGTGGTGCTCCACCTCGCCTAACTCCACCCGCTGCCCGCGCACCTTAACCTGGCTGTCCTTGCGGCCCACGTAGACAAGGTTGCCGTTAGGGTCGTAGCG